CAAATATCCCTAATCTGAGTGTGGAAATATATTTCATGACAATGTGACAGCAAAGCCATTATGTGCTCACCTTTAGATAAGATCATTTAAAAGTTTTTAATGGCATCCACTCTATCCATTGTATTCATTTTAGAGAAAAACATTCAGGCGCATCTAAAACGTGTGTGTATGTGTCTCTCTCTTTGGTATAGTTTATAGAGCGACAAGGTGTTCTGAGTGATAAAAGTAAAATACTTCTCCTAATTTCCAAGTTTGCAATCGCCTCTTACCAATCGAGTGGCAGAGCCAAGGAGCATTTGAGTGACTTTAAGCAAGTCATTCAAAACTAGAGAACTTCTTCCAGTTGAGCAGGCTCTAGAACAGGGCTACTCAACTTTGAAAGCCCTGGGGGCCCCAATGACACTCACAGCACATGCCGAGAGCCGCAACTTAAGTGTGGTTGCAGATACATCCAAATATATAAGCAGATAACTTCTTTCACACTGACAGGCATGAATACAAAGAGTAAGCCATGAGCTGTGGTGCCGGATCCAAACATGGCCAGTGTGAGCCAGTCAGCACCTCTCAGGCTCTGCCCACAACGCTAAGCAGCCAGCTCTTCCCACAATACCCCGGTGCTCCCAATACCTCCTCCCTGGAGGCTAGAAACACCAACGCCCTGTCTGTTCCAGCCAGCCCATCCGCTTGTGTCTTTCTATGCTCGCCCTGCCTGGGAGATGCCTCACCTTTGTGGAGCATGTTCCCAGTGAAGACCATGTTCAAAGGCTCCCAACCCTGAGCCACGTGTTGAGCCCTACGTAAACCCAAACCACACTGCAGGCTGCAAACAAACAGGCCACGGGCCACTGCATGTTGAGTAGCCCTGCTCTAGTGCTCTTTTCAGATGCCTGTACAGTGTACCTCTGGGACTGACATTTTTACTCCGTATCTATAGGAAGTCATATGCATTCATATTCTGAGAGATACACTATACTTTTTATTACATCTCTCTCTCTCTCTGACCAAGACATTGATAACTGAGCAAATTGGTTTCTCTTGTTTTTTTAAACAAAAGAAATTCCAACCGTCCTGAATAAACAAAACTCTCATTGACATTTCAGTAGTGCTAGATTTGGCCTATAATTAGAAACCTTGATTCATTAATTTACAAACACTGGAATCTTTTTTCTAGGCTTGCTTCTCTTTTTAAAATACAATTCTATCTTCTGCTCTGATTCAAATAAAGATACGGAAAATTGATCAACGTGGAAGAACTAATTCAACAATGAAAAACATAAGATAAAGCACAGACCTTAGAATACTTTAACTCTCAACTAAAATACACATGTATTTTCCTAGCATATTTAAACCATTAAATAGAATTCCCCCTCCCCCATCCCCTCCAAATTCAAAGGTTTTGTCACATTCATGGTTGATATTAATTGCTCTCACCTAAGGAGACTCTAGCAGGTACAGCTCTGCGATCAATCCAGAAGGACACCCATGACAGCATGACCATTAGAGTGGCAGGGAAATAGGTTTGGAGCAAGAAGAAGAAGATGTGGCGACGTAAAGTGAAATTTATATACAGTCTATTGTACCATCCTGTTGGGAAGAAAAAAGGTGCAATGAAGAACATCTTAATGACACATACAGAGCTGCTACATCTGTCAGCAAATCATATATTTCTTTTATAAGCATCAACTACCTATAATTGTGTAAATGGATGGGTGAGCATTCTGTATCCTACAGATCATTCACAGCATAGACTGTAATGATCTGTAATCCCAAAGTTGACAAGGGCAAAGGGAAAGACAGGAGGACTCTTATTCAAGTACACCTTACAGAAATGTCATTTAAATTTCACCCAGCAAATGCTTGACATTGAACTTGTAAATATATGGCAATGAATCAAAAAGAATAATAAAACCATTTTAAAAAAGACTATAATACCAGTGCTACTGTAGAAAGCGAGTCTGGAGGTAGTATGAAACTTTTGTATCAAAAACTGAGACAAAGAAATCTTCTCATCCGTTTTCAGGGATTCGTTCCCATTTTTCCAGTATAGCATCAGATCTTCATCAGTGTAAGCATCTTCGGAGGGGGGGGAAGGAAAAAAAGAGACATAATGTGACTTTTCTTTAGGATATTTCATGTAAACAATCAGTATAAAAAGTAACTGTGTGTGGATAACGAACATATTAATGAGATTCACAGATGATTGCAAGGCCCCAGTCGTGCATTGGGATCTGCTTGGCATAGGGGTTCATGTTCCGTGGATTCTGATGTTGGATCAGGCTCTCAATTGGAGATTATCACAAATACTACTGGTGACAGACCAAGCCCACCAATATGAGGTGGGAGGCAAAGAGGTCAATTGCCCTAGGGCCTTAGTGATTCAAAAGAGCCTGGGGTTTCAGCCACCTGAGCCCTTTAAATGGCCACTTGAGCGCCACCATGGCACACTCTGGGTAGCTATAAGGGCTTCCTGGAGGAGGGAAGGCTATGGTGAAGCATGCTTCAGACAATGCTGAGAGCTGGTTGCCCCAAGCCCCTCCCCTTCTGCCCAAGGCCCCACTCTGACAGAGTGCAAAGCCAGACCCTCCACCACCTTGCCCAGGGACCTGGGAAGGCTGTTAGCCCTACTGGGACAGACTAAAAATGCAGAGTACCAGGGAAGTTGGAAGTATGGGTGGAAAATAACTCTGAACTCTGTTTGGAATAAATGCAGATGAATTTATATACAAAAAATAAACAAACACAGATACATCTTTAGCAGTAATAAAAATCCTGTTTATTTGGCAGTGGACAGTAGGATAACTAAGGATCTTGCCATATGTTGTACTGTAGCAGCCCAAAAAGCCAAACCAAAGATATCATTCCATGATCGACTTTGTACAGCACTGGTATATAATTAGAATGGTACATTTCTGATCACCACAATATCAGAAACATGTAGACAAATTGGTGGAGATTCAGAGATGAACACAAGAATTGATTAAAGGGATAGGAAGATTGGTTTATGAGGAAAGATTATAGGAAGTAATTATGGTTAATCTAGCCAAATTTAAGGGACGAATGAGAGAAAGCCATCTAAAATGTTACTCGTGAGACAGACAGGGTTTTGAACAGGCTCTGTCACCTCTCAGATGAGCGCTCTAACCACTGAGCTATGGGATATTTTGATGTGGGGTTCTCTGAGTGTCATCTGTTGCACTCTGGTTAAATAATTTAAAAAAATTAATTGGAGCAGGTGGATCAGATCTTGGGTTTCCGACCTCACGGATGAGTGCTCTATTCACCACAACAAAGTCTGATCCAGAATTGTAAATCCCAGTGAATTTCTAGGAGCCTAAAAGTTTCTATGTGACTTTAACCCTTAAGCATGAAAGCACCTGGTGACTTCCATTAAGATGAACTAAATTACTCAAGTTGAATTCTGTGGCACTGCTCACATGCTTTAGTACTTGCAGGATCTGGCCTAATTTGTAAAGCATGTTAGAGTCATTGAAGATGAAAGGTGCATATATTGAAGAGAGTAGCAATTAACAACTGTCCTCCAAGATGGTTTCAAACATCATCTCCCAAACAGAGTAAACCAATACCATGGAAATTCTGAGTATTCCCTCCAAGGCAGACTCCAGCCTTATAATAATCAGTCCAAGGAGCAGGATCCTAGTTTGACTTTTGTTGCTTTTCTTTTGTGTTATCTACGAAAAATCTCTTGTGCTCTCTCATACACACAGGCTATATCTATACTGCACGCTCTTGCACAAATATTTCCCCCTGGAACCACTTCGGACAGGGCAAAAGGGCACCAGTCCCTTCCGCGGGTAGGTGCCAGAGCCCCGCTGAGACACGTGCTTAAAGGGATCTCCCTGGACAGCCGTTTCTCTGCTGCTCTGTGCTTTGGGACCTGTGGTAGGGACTGAAAGCTGTAGCAGTGCCTGTTGTGGTTGCCCTCAGCCTCTTTGGGCGCCACAGCTTTTGCCCTTGTGCCTTTGGGGACTTTTGCCTTCGTCCTCTTGTGCCATGGAGCCAGAGATGGCCCTGTGCCTGCTCTGGCCCCACACGGCCATTTTGGAGTGTGTGCAGATGCTGCTCCATGCCACCATGCTACTCCTGCAGGAGCTCGACACTGAGCTCCATCTGGACTCCCTCTCCCTGGATGCAGCAGCTTTGCTGTGGCATCCCTACCCTACCGTGGAGAGGCAATACTGGAGACTCGACACCAGTTCCGACTGATGGGACCAGTCTGGAGCACTGGAATGACCAGCAGTGGCTCCAAAACTTCAGGATGCGGAAGCAGACGTTCCTGGAGCTGAGTGCCTGGTTCACCCCTGAACTCCAGAGACAAGAAACCCAGCTGCAGCCCGCCATTCCCGTCAAAAAGAGGGCTGCCATCGCCAGTCTGAGGGGGGGCAGTAGGGGTGGGGGAAGCCCCATCACCCAAGGGGGTTGTGCCATCCCTCCTTCACATAGGCCTGCTGGCAGGGGGGACCTCTGGAGCGAGGGGGCCCTGGCGTGTTTGGGGACAGAGGCCATCAGAAGGAGATGGACACCCCCCAAGGGCCCATGCATGCACCGTCTCATTCTGCGTGTTCCCTGTGTTTCTGTGTGCCCTTCTGCAGGTTGTCCGAGACATCAACAACATCCTGCTCAAGAGGGTCATCTGCCTGTGCGACGCAGACACAACCATGGCGGGCTTTGCTACCCTGGGGTTCCTCAACTGCAGGGGAGCCATGGATGGGACCCACATCCCCATACGGGCACTGGAGCATCGAGCGGCCCACTTCATAAATAAGAAGAGCTACCATTCCATGGTGCTCCAGGCCCCTATGGACCACCATGGCCACTTCACAGACATTTATGTGGGGTGGTCAAGCAAAGCACATGACACCCTCCTCCTCTGAAACTCCAGCCTGTTTTTCAGGCTGGAAGCAGGCACTTTCTTTCCCCAGTGGGAACTAATGGTTGGGGATGTCCACATGCCACTTTGCGGGGGACGTAGCCTACTCCATGATGCCATGGCCGACGCGGCCATACACCAGATGCATGGACCCCAGCCAGGAACGATTCAACCTGCACCTGAACTGGGCCCGCAACCAAGTGGAGTGCGCCTTCGGCCAGCTGAAGGCAAGATTCCATTGTCTGCTCACCCGTCTCGACACGGGCGAGCACAACATCCTGGAGATGGTCGCAGCGTGTTGTATGCTGCACAACATTGTGGAGCGGAAGGGGGGAGGCCTTCCCTTCCGGGGTGGATGGCAGGTGAGGGCTGGGCGTTCGAGGAGCCCCGAACAACCGCTATTGGGTGCGCCTCTGAGGTGCCCTCAGGGAGATGTTCTCCCAGGCCCCACAGTAGGTTGCCTCGGTCTTGCATCCACATCCCTCTACCATCCCCAACCCTTCCCTCCCCCCTTCCCTCCCATTCCAATAAACACAACTCTGCTTGTTCACCAAAAAATAAACTATTATTTACATTGGGATGAAGGGTGGGCAGTGGGAGGGGGCTCTGAACTGGGAGGGGGAATTAGTGCTGGGAGGGATGGCTCCTCCCAGCGCCTCCTCAGGTGCGGAGGCCTTGGCACCCTTCAGGCCAGGTTGGAGCAGGCAGCCCTGGGAGGTGGGCAGCATGGGGAACAGCAAGGGGGGGATTGGCACAGCAGGAGGAGCAACAGGAGAGGCAATGGGGGGCAGCAGGAAGGGGCATGGGCACGGCAGGAGGGGCAGCTGGGAGGGTGGCGGGGGGGGG